TAATGCTACCACAGGGAAGCACTCTGAAAATATGATTTTAAGTGAGTGCCACTCACAAAAGACCACATATTACATGATGCCTTTGTGGATGCAATGTCCAACACAGGTGAGGGGCTGAAATGTACAAGTGATAGGGGCGATGGCTGCACAACTCTGAACATTTTAACCACCACTGAATTATACACTTAAAGTGAATATATTTTATATTTGAATTATATGCCAATAATGCTGTTACCCACATCCAAAACAGGGAGGGGTGAGCTATCCCCATCATCTTGAGAGCTAACATCTGCACATGCACTGCGGGCTTTTTTGCACTTTACCCATATTAGCTCATTAGACACCCAAGTAAACCTGTGAGGTGGGTACTACTGTCCCTATATTACAGATGAGAAAATTGAGGCAGAGAGAGATTTAAGAACCTTGCTCAAAGGCACAGTGTAGTAAACTGTGGAACTGGAAATCATCTCAGGCAGCCTAGCTCTGGAGCCTACCCAGACCCTGCTCACCCTGAAAAGCAGCCCCTACCCTCCAGGCTGGTTGGGACCCCTCCTGTGCCCTCCTATAGAAGCTTCCTCTTCCCCGAGTAACTCATGCTGTAATAATGACAACCCTCTGTGAGTGCAGGGGCCCCGTGTGCTCCGCAAAGGTCAGGTTCAAAAGTTACATGTCTCAATTGCCCTCCAAATCCCCGATGTCAACCTGTGTGCACACAGACGGCAGGATGATTTTGACACATGCTCACCTTTGAGGGCCATCAAGCCTGCTAGCTCCCTGAGCACAAGGACCAGTGCTTTTCCTGACCCTGGCCTCCTCCATGACCCTGGCCTCTTCCATGCCCAGCATGCATTTGGGATGCCCCCGTGGCTCAGCAGTTTAGCGCCGCCTTCAGCCCAGGGCCTGATCCTGGGAGATCCGGGATCAAGTCCCACATTGGGCTCCTGCAAAGAGCCTGCTTCTCCCTCTGCCTGTGTCTCTGACTCTCTGTCTCTCTGTGTCTCTCATGAATGAATAAATAAATCTTAAAAAAAAAAAAAGAATACGGGGGAGGGAAACCAAAGATGAAGGCATCACCAACAGTCAGTGTAGTGTTCCGTTCTATAGGGCACCATGTCAACAGCATGAAATGGTCTTACCTTTGCCTTCTAGACTGCCCATGGCTCCCTTGGGCTTTACCCTGTAGAGCAACAGAGGAGCCAGACTATGCCTGGATTAACCACCAGGCAGAGACTGGAATAACAATCCCCAAGGTATGGGAAAGGTTCGGATTTCTTCTGGCTTAAAACAAGGCAAAACTGGGAAATGCTATTAGGGGCAGGTGGCATCTGAAAGACAGGAATATCTGGTATATGGTTACAAAAGCTTCCACAGGCTTGTTTCTTCAGATCCCCTGCAGCAGCAGTGATACTGTTGGGGGAGGGGCAGAATTTGTAAGACATCAGATGAACACACATAGCCCCTCTCCGGCAAGTACAGAGTGATTCTGTGAGACGAAAACCCTCCATGTTATCCAACCAGTCCTCACTTCACACAAAATTTTATCTTGAGCCACCAGGCAACCTATGGAGCATTGGGAGCTCTGGGTCAACGTAGGGATACCTCTGGATGTTGGTGGCTGCAAAAAGGGTAAAGGGAGGATGATGGGGGAACTCTTGTTGGTCCGACCCTCCAGGAGATGCCAAGAGCTGTGCTCTGCCTTACACACATCAGGGTGATGATATGGTTCTCATCTGGCAGGTGAGGAAATGAGGTGAGAGGGTGACACACCTGGCTTGAGGTCACAAAGTTTGGAAGGCAGCCTGTCCAACCCAGAAACTGACACTCAGTCCCTTTGCCCCAAGAAAGTAAGCTTGAACCCCCAAGGCTGATTTTCAGGGGCTCCCAAGGCCTAGTGAACCACGCAGTATGAGAAACTTTGCTTGCTCACCTCATTTAACAAGCATACACTAAGTACCCATCACATGCCATGTTCCAGGCAGTGGAAGCAGAGTAGACAAGTCAGGCAACATCTCTGCCCTATGAAATAGTATATACTCTGATGTAGAAATACAAAAGTCAAATACACACACAAGAGAGGTTCAAAGGGGCACCTGGGTGGCTCAGTGGTTGAGCATCTGCCTTTGGCTCAGGTCATGATCCCGGGTTCAGGCTCCCCAGAAGAGCCGGCTTCTCCCTCTGCCTATGTCTCTGCCTCTCTGTCTGTCTCTCATGAACAAATAAATAAAATCTTTAAAAAGGAAAAAAAAAAGTTCAAATACCGAAAGGTGTGATCGATGAAATAGGGTTAGGAAACAAATGGGGCCCCCACGTAGGCTGGTCAAAGAAGGTCTCTCTGAGCTTCTAAGCAAAGACCTGAATGTAAGGTAAGGGCATTCCAGCAGAGGGAACAGCACTGACATGTTCTAAGAGAAGGCCAGTGTGACTAAAGCAGGGAGTAAACAGAATAGTAAGAGAGGAAGCTATAAGCGGAGACTAGGCAAACAAAGCCCAAAGGGAAAGAATCTGCATTTTAATTTTAATGCAATGGGAGGCCACTGGGAAAAGGCACAATGTATAGTGTGGACTCTGGAGTTGAAATCATGAGTCTGTCACAGAGTCTGTCACATACAAGCTGTATAGCCTTAGACAAGTTACTCAATCTTTCTGTTGAGTTTTCTATTCAGTTACCTCATCTGTAAATGGAAATAATACTACCTACTTCAGAGGGTTATTAAAACCTTAAATGAGCAGGGCAGTGATATAATCTAAGGTATGATTTTAAAAATCACATTAGGGGGGCAGCCCCAGTGGCGCAGCAGCTTAGGGCTGCCTGCAGCCTGGGGCGTGATCCTGGAGACCTGGGATCGAGTCCCACGTCGGGCTCCCTGCATGGAGCCTGCTCCTCCCTCTGCCTGTGTCTCTGCCTCTCTCTCTCTCTGTGTGTCTCTATGAATTAATAAATAAAATCTTTAAAAAAAAATAAAAATAAATAAAGATCACATTAGGGGATCCCTGGGTGGCGCAGCGGTTTAGCGCCTGCCTTTGGCCCAGGGCGCGATCCTGGAGACCCGGGATCGAATCCCACGTCGGGCTCCCGGTGCATGGAGCCTGCTTCTCCCTCTTCCTGTGTCTCTGCCTCTCTCTCTCTCTGTGACTATCATAAATAAATTAAAAAAAAAAAAAAAAGAGTTCAACGAAGTTGGCCTTGGGCTGGGAGCTCCTCCCATTTATTCCTAGAAGAGTAGGAACCCTCTTCCCCAAAGTCCCAGGCCTCCTGGAGAGGGCAAATCTCTGTCTCTCTCTCTCTGCTTCAATATCTGTCCCCAAATGCCTCTGCCCAGACTGCTACCTATAGTCCTGCCTCATAATTTCTAAAATTTAGTGAGCTCTCACTACATGCCAAAGAAGTTTCTAAAGTGCTTTACACACATATTAACCCACTCACGCTTCATGACAATCCTCCAGAGTAGCTTCCATTATCATGCCCATTTAAACACTGAAGAAAAAGGCAAAAAATAGCAACATGCATGAAATCTAAGCACCAAAGAGAGAGAGAGAGAGAGAGAGAGAGAGAGAGAAATCTAAGCACCATTAAGTGGCAAAGAAGGGATTTCAATGCAGTCTGACTCTAGGGCACATACCCTTATCCACTACTGCTCCCTTGTACGGGACAAGTGCCACCACTGTCCCAGCTTAGAACCTATCTCATCTCATATCCTTCAAGAACTGCTCTTCCATGAGCAATGCTTGCATGCTCATCGTCACCTGAGGGCAGGGACTGTGTCTGAAACACCTGTGAACCCTTCTCCCTAAAAAGCCCTCAGTCTATAGTCCATACCTGCTGAAGGCCTGGACAAATATTTAACGGAATCAAAGGAGGCCAATTCCCAGTGCCATGCTGGTAGTTCTGCCTTCTCAGTTATTTCTGATTGTGCAAGGTCACCTCCAGACCAGTTAGCTGGCTTATAAGAATTGGGAGCTGCCTAGGATGGAACATGGCCAGGGCTGCTGTTTGCTTTGTCAAGATTATGCTGTTTCGCAAGCAAAAGCTGCTTGCTATCCGGGAACTCCCTCTGTAGGTGGGGCTTTCTATACTCAGCCTAGCTCCTCACTCCCTGGGTGCCGGAGAGGTCCCAGTGTGTCAGAGCCTGTTAGAGAGCGCTGGCAAGGCAGGCTTGACATCTAGACCCTGCCTCTGGGTCCCTGTGTGACTCTGAGGACATTCCTTTCTATCTCTGGGTTTCAATTTCTACATCTGTAAATGAGAGTGGTGTTGTTCTAAGAGATTTGCCGCTCCTTCTAGAGGCTTCCAGACTGCACAAGTTTTTGGCTCTTACCTGCCACCCCTTGCAGGGACGTGCGCACCGCGTCCACGCAGCTCTGACAGGTCATCTGCACTGTGAACTCCAGCTGCAAGGCCGGCAGGGACAGGCTGATGAGAGTCGAGGGGACCCCCTACCTTGCGTGACCCCCTATGACCACCCCAAAAAGCCTGGAGAGGGCAAATCTCTCTCTCTCACATGACCCATTCTCAAGTGCCCTAATTATCAGTCGTGATCGTTCCAGGTCCAATCCTCCAACTCCCCAAAGTTAACGCCAAGGACTCTGCTAATCTCGCACCCTTTCCCGCGGAGGCCCCAGGCCCCGCCCCAGGTGCCTACTCCTTCCCTTTTTCCTGCGTTAACAATCATCCTAGGGGCCGAGGCTCTCTGCCCAGAGAGGCTCCCACAGGAGGCCTCGACCCTCACCGTGCAGGCGGTCCCGCGGTCCTCGGAGTCCGAAGCCATCCCGGACCCCGTCACCGGCCCGAGGACCTGAACTGCCGCGGCGCTGAGGTAGTGTGGGGCAAACCCCTAACTCGGTCGCGGGGAGGCGGAGCCTCGGAAGCCACACTTTGCTCAGCCTCCTGGTGCGCGCGCCCGTCAGGCCCTCCCCTCTTACGTCACTCTTTGAGAGGTACTGGCTGCGCAGGCGCACTCGGACCATCCCGCGCCTGGTTGCCTTAGTAACCTCTTGGCTTCTTTGACTCAGCCCTGCCGCGCCGCGCTAAGATGGAGCCCAGCAAACCGGAACCCGACCTCCAGCGGTTTTACCACCGGTTGCTGTGTCCGCTGTCGCTCTTCCCCCGCAAGGCGACGTGCCCAGAATCTCAGAAGCCCCTCCCGCCGGAGGTCCCGATGCTGTTGCCGTTGCCAGTCTCACGGCTGACGGTGGCGTCGCTGTGCCGTCAAGTGGCCAAGCGGCTGGCCAACAGTGGGCTGTCGGTGCGCGTGCCTACCAAAGGCCGACTCCGTTTCATTGAGGTCATCCTGAACGAGTTAAAGTGCAGCTGGCAGGAGCCTCCCACTGAACCTAGTCTGAGCCATTTGGACAACCAGAGACTGCGGAAGCGGCTCCAGGTATACGTACTGCTCAGCAGCGAGCAGCTCTTCTTACGATACCTGCACCTCCTGAAGACCATGTCCACCACCAGCGGAGTCTTCACTGAGTCAGCCACACTCACGCGTTTGACCGCCGGCCTCGCCAGGGACTGCACAATCTTTCTTACCAGTCCTGAGGTCTACCGTTCCCTGTTTGCCGACTTCCTCACCCTGCTGAAGATAGAACAGGCCCACGGTGGCATGCATAAGCTGCGCCCAGTAGGCCCTACTGGGGCTTTCAAGCTTTTCCCTTTTCAATGGCTTCACAGCACCAGCTTCGCCCAAGCACCAAGCTGCAACCTCAACCTAAACTACCTCATCCAACTTAGCCGCCCACGGGAGTTTCTCAATGAGCCTGAACTGGATCCAGTGAAGGAAGTGAAGTCTATCCCCCAGCTGAAGAGGAAAAACCCTCTCCAGTGGCCGTCCTCCATGCAGAAGAAGAGAGAAAGCGACTTCAGTTCCACACAGATTGTGTCACTGCCCAAATACTCTGTGACTCCCGCCAGCCAGGCTCCCTCCACCTCTTCCCACTTGCCCTTCTACTCCCAACAACAGAGAAGCCAATCCATGCCCTCCCTACGTGAGGGCTGGAAGCTGGCAGATGAGCTGGGCCTTCCTCCACTCCCCTCTCGCCCCATAACCCCGTTGGTTCTGGTTCCAGGAAGCAAAACAGAGCTGGCAGGGGACATGGTAGATGAAGACCTGAAGCAGATGATAAAGAACATGAAATTGGAGAGGACTCAATACTTACCATTGGATTCGGGCCTGCCCCTGCTCCTGGGAGCCCTGACCCGCCGCCCAGCTGCAGCACATCACATGCAGGAACTGCAGAGAACGTTAAAAAGCCTTGAAGAGGAAGAAGCCACTGGGCAGTGGGGCCCCCAATGCCTCAAATCCATTCCACTTCAACCACAGCCAGTGACTGTTAGTTTGAAGCTAAAGAATCAGGCTGTGGTTCAGGCAGCTGCTGTGCAGGTCTCTGAGAGAAACTTTTTGGATTCCTTCCATGTTGATGGGGCTGGAGTCCTATACAACCACCTGGCTGGTGAACTAGAACCCAAACTTATCGAGGAAATGGATATTGGTTGCTTTGTTGGCAATAACATCAGTGAGGTCTACAAGGAACTGATGAGCCGTGTCTCTCCTGACCACTTCTCTTTTGACCAGGGGCCCCTGGTTGAGCCTGCAGCCAATAAAGACTGGTCGACCTTCCTGTCCTCAGCCTTTCTACATCAAGAAAAACAGTATTGCGTCATCAATCCCAAGTTAGCAGGATTTTATTCCCAGAGAACAAACATTTTACAGCCCTCCTCTGAGAAGATAATCTCCCTCACATCACTCCAAGCAAACAAAGGCTGGGAGAAGTGGTCAAACAAAGCCTCATGGATGAACTGGTGGAAAACCACCCTGTCTGTGGGTGACTATTTCAAGTACCTCACCAACCAGGAGACAGATTTTCTCCATGTCATCTTCCAAATGTATGAAGAGGAAGGTCCTGGGGAGGCCATAGGCCCTGTCAGAGAGTCCCTAAAGATTCAATACCCACCTCCCTTGCTGGAAGATGAAGAGCCAGACTTTGTGCCAGGAGAGTGGGATTGGAACACAGTGCTAAGGCACAGGCTAGGAATTAAGAGGACTAGCCTCCTGGGAGAACCTTACAAAATCCTGAACCTGCAGAAGCGTCTGGAGCACTTGTGGTCCATGCTTGAGGTCCCTGACAAGGACCGGCTAGACATGGTCATCAAGTACAGCTCCAATGCCCGTCTGAGTCAGCTGCCTTCATTAGTGAGTGCCTGGGAGCAAGTCCTGAAGCCCATTCAGCTGCGGGAAATGTTGCTGGGGAGACTAGAATTGTTTGAGCGACAAGCCTCTGACCCCAACCGCTTCTTCCAAAAGACTAACATGGGCCTGGGTAGCTTCCTGGAGGAGAATCAGTTCCGCAACCGTCTACACAGGAAGATCAATCTGGTGCAGGCTCCTTTGGTTTCCCTCCTGAAGGAAATTGAATTAATCTTTGGTGAGCCAGTGACCTTCAAGGGGCGGCGATACCTGGATAAGATGAAGCATGACAAGGTGGAGATGCTGTACTGGCTACAGCAGCAGCAACGGGTCTACCACCTGACACAGGGTCAGAAGGCCTCCCACCAGCCAGGGCTGTTCAAGAAGCTCAGCATCCAGCCTTCAATAACTCCTGGGAATACTCCTATTACTCTGTGCCCTCAAATCCCTCCCTCACCCCCAAACACCTAGCAGATCCTTCAGACCTCTTGACTACTTTAGAAGACAAATTATCTGGGATTGCAGGATTCAGGAACATTGTGCCTCCAACTACCAACGACTAAGATTAATACTTTATTTTGACTGTAAAGTTCTCATAAAAGAATCTCCAAGCCCAGAAGCCCAATATTGCCATTTATTTCAAGCCATGCACAATGTAACCAAAATCTCATACATCCAAAAAACTGAGACCATCTGTAGGAGTTTATTGTAATGGGAAATGTCAGAGGCAAACCTTCACCTTTGAAACACCTCAGTTTAGCATTTATCAACTACATTTAAACTGGCTGATTAGAGTCCCAAATCAAGAGGTTCTATGGCATGATGCTTAAGAGCTAAGGCTCTAGGGACACCTGGGTGGCTCAGCGGTTTAGCGCCTGCCTTCGGCCCAGGGCATGGTCCTGAGGTCCCAGGATCAAGTCCCGCATCGGGCTCCCTGCATGGAGCCTGCTCCCTCTGCCTGCGTCTCTGTGTCTCTGTCTCTCTCTCTCTCTCATTAAAAAAAAAAAAAAAAAAAAAAAAAAAAAAAAAAAAAAAAAAAAAGCTAAGGCTCTGGAGTTAGGAGATACGGATTTAAATCCTGGCTTTGTAACCTCAGACAAATTACCTAACTGCTCTGTACCTGGACCATCATAAGATGAAGGGGTTAGGTCCAGGCTCTCACTTCCACTTCTTGGATCCTGTTGGTAGAGCTAAAAATTTGTATTATATTTTTACGAGTTAACATAAGCACATGGTACAAAGAATACAAGGATATATACTGAAAAGGAAGTCTTCTTCCCATCTCTACCTCACACATCCCAGTTCCTCTCCCTGGGGGAAGCAATTGTCACCAGTTCTTGTGTATTTTCCATTCCCTAATTCAGCAAATACTTAATTGAACACCTACTACGTGAATTATGTTTGATTTATATCACTGAACAAAACAAAGATCTCTACCCCTCATAAACATTTTCATTACTCAGGAGAAACAGACCATAAACCATAGACATAGTACCTAAGCATGCTGAATAATAAAATGTTAGAAGGTAATAAGTACTGCAGACAAAAAGAATAGGGAAAGGAAACAGGCTGAGGGATATTGTTTTAATTAGGATGGTCAGTGCAGGCCTCTCTGAGAAGGGAAGGTTTGAGCAAAGGCTTGATGGAGGAAAGAAGCAAGACCCGTGGACACTGGGGATTCCTTCCTTGACACCTGCTATAAAGCCCTATGGAAGGCAGGTGCCTGGAGTGTTCCAGAAAAGCAAGGTGGACAGTGCGGGTGGGGCAGAGCCAGGGGGAGAGGTGAAGTTTATAAAGTGCTTTTTTTTTAAGATTTTATTTATTCATGAGGGACAGAGAGAGAGAGAGAGAGAGAGAGGCAGAGACCCAGGCAGAGGGAGAAACAGGCTTCATGCAGGGAGCCTGTTGCGGGACTCTATCCCAAGACTCCAGTATCATCCCCCAAGCTGAAGGCAGATGCTCAACTGCTGAACTACCCAGGCATCGCCTATAAAGTGCTTTTCACATTCATTCAGGTGAGAATCAGTTGAATATAACTTGCTCCTGAAGTGGTGGATTCCCAACTTAAACTCAGGTCTGGGAACTTCAAATCCTTGGCCCTAGCTGTCTGGCTGCAGTGGGGGTCCTTGCTCCTTGCCAAGCCTCCATGCAGCCAGAGGCTAGTGACTCCATTCTGGCAAACTCATCTGTGCTGAGAACCTTTTGCCAAGTGTTATGCTCAGGTGCTTTAAGGATATTATTTCACTGTTTTAAAAGATCTTATCTGAGAGAGTGAGCGTGAGTGGAGGCAGAGACAAAGATAATCACAAGCAGATTACACACTCAATATGGAGCCCAACGTAGGGCTTGATCCCAGGACCCTGGGATCATGACCTGAGCTGAAATCAAGAGTTGGATGCTTAACCAACTGAGCCACTTAGGCACCCCAGGGTGTTATTTCATTTAAGCCTCACACCAATCTTGCAAAGCAAGAGAAGGTATTATTATATTACCTCCCTCTAGGGAAACTGGACTCTAGGCTAATGGGATGAAAATTATCTAAATTTCTGAGGACTTTTGTAGACATTTTAGTTTTGTGCCTGCCAGAGCCATCAGACATATAAATACTTTCAATTTGGCTGGGATGATTTGCTGCAGTCCTTTTGCTGCCCAGGCAGCAGCAGGGACCAAGCCCATGAAAGCTGAAAAATCTCATCTCTTTGTTACATTAAAAGGATGGCTCATCATTTGCATATTTAAATATATATTTATTATCTAAATTAACATTAATCTCGCTATAAACAGAAATAATGTATTTTTATGAGATGTAACTCTTCCAAAACAAAAAACATAGTGAAGCAGTTTTACTGTTTTGCAAATGTTTTAAATGTCTGGCTTAATGAGAAAGAGCTGGATTCTCCTACCTGTTTCTGCATACATCTGTGACAATATCAGAGGTCATGTAGCCTCTGGAAAACTACTAAGGAAAGAGTAAGGGTAGAAAAGGCAAATAATGTCTTAGCAATATTATGAAAATAGTTCTGACACCACGAAACCCCAGAAAGTGTCTCAAGTCCCTATTTGTATTTTTGGTTTGTTTGAAGCAGAAAAGGGGCAGACATGAGGACAAAGGCAGTCGTAAGGATGGCAGGGGCTGGGGGACATGTTGGATCAGGGAACTGGGCAGTTGCTGGGGCAAGGGCAGTAGAAGTGGGGGAAGGGTTGTTTTATCAGTAATATCTGTTTATAAAATGTCAAGGATAAGGCTAGAGGTAAAACTACAGCTTAAAAGAAAAAAATTGATCATCTATGTTCTGGATAGACAGATTGGCTCTTGGGTGATCTGGCCACACTGGGAAGCTGAGAAGCTGAGAGCTGAAACCAAGGGCTGAAGACTACAGGTGTTGCTGGGGACCAGATTTGAGCGCAGGTGTTTCCGCTAAGCCTACAGCCCCACCCCTCTTGGTCCTGAGGCTTTGGGCGTTTGGTCCACCTTTTCCTTGTCCTGTCATTTACCAAACACTTTCCTTCATGTTGACTTGCTGTTAAAGTTTATTTTATTTTTTATTTTTTTTTTTAAAGATTTTATTTTATTAACTCATGAGAGACACAGAGCGAGCGAGAGAGAGGCAGAGGGAGAAGCAGGCTCCACGCAGGGAGCCCGATGTGGGACTGGATCCCGGGTCTCCAGGATCAGGCCCTGGGCTGCAGGCAGCACTAAACCGCTGCGCCACCGGGGCTGCCCTAAAGTTTATTTTAAAAGGCAGTTTAAAGGGCTCCACGCTGTGCATGGAGTCTACTTAAAAAAAGAAAGAAGGGCACCTGGGTGACTCAGTTGGTTAAGCATCTAAATCTTGATTTTTTTTTTTAACGATTTTATTTATTTACTCATGAGAGACAGAGAGAGAGAGAGAGGCAGAGACACAGGTAGAGGGAGAAGCAGGCCCCTGCAGGGAGCCTGATGCGGGACTTGGGACTCGATCCTGGGACTCCAGGACCACGCCCTGGGCCAAAGGCAGATGCCAAACCGCTGAGCCACCCAGGGATCCCCCCAAGTCTTGATTTTAGCTCCAGTCATGATCTCATGGTTGTGGGATCAAGCCCTGCACTGGGCTCTGAGGTCAGCAGGGAGTCTGTTTGGGATTCTCTCCTTTCCCTTTGACCCTCCTTGCTGTGCTCTCTCTCCAAAATGGATAAATAAATCTTTAAAAAAAAAAGCCAATTTAAATAAGATTAGCTAATATCCATGTAGTAATTATTAAGCACTAGACTCAGTTCTAAACACTTTACACACAGTAATTCACTTAATCCTCATGGTAATGCAATGAGATAGGTATGACTATCATTTCAAGGTCCAGATGAGGACACCGAGGCACAGAGTGGTTATATGACTTGCCCAAGGTCACACAACTAGGAACATGGTAGTCTGAATTCAGACCCAGTGGTGTGACTCTGAAGTACACGCTCTTAACCACTGTACTGTTTCTTATCATAAAATACAGAAAACAAGTCTGCCCAGTTAAGGCCTGCAGGATGAAGCCATATATGATCAAATTTTTTACTTTCATTATTGCCTGTGCCCTGAGGAAATCAGGCTCTCAGCCACCTTGATTCCAGAAGTGACTCTGAGGCTCTTGGCATTATTCTTTCAGATCTAGAGCACTTTGCCTGAGCCTCTCCCAAGGGCCGGTGCTCTGTCTGTGGAGGGAGGTAGGAAATGGAAGGAAAACAGAGAGTCCCAGTCCCGTTGCTGAGGAGTTTAAAGCTTAGTGGGGAAGATAATTTCAATGATGTAGCACGTAAAGGGCACAGTGGGATCCCACAAAAAGGGCATTCAACAAAGCTGGGAGAATAGTGGTAAGGGAGAGCCACACCTACACAGGATCTAGTTTCTATAAAGTCGAGCAGGAGTTGTCAGGCACATGGTAGCAAAGGAGAAGAGAACTTTCTAAGTCTAGAATGAACAAAAGTATGGATCATAAGCGTGATGTATGTGGAGGAAGCACAAGAACATTGGTATTAACAGCCTTTAAAGTTCCTAGAAAAGAGTGAGGCTGGAGGGGGAGGCAGGGCCAGGTGGAGTTTGGGCTTTATTGTGTAGGTGGTGGGAAGTCATGTATTCCTCAGCAAATGCCCCCTGACCATCTGCTCCATGATACCGCAAAAACAATATAGACAGGTGGGATCCTGGGTGGCTCAAGTCAGTTAAATGTTTCTAGCTTGGGCCTCTGGTGGAGCCCTTCTTGAAATGGGAGGATGGAGGGTTTTGTGGGAGTGGGGTGGGACAAGAGTGAGGGAAGATGATGAGTTGAGCCCTCAAAAGGTTAAGTTTGAGGTGCCTTCGGGCATCTGAGTGGAGATCCAGAGGCAAATATTTTTTTCATACACTGACAGAAATTTTGCTAAACATAGGAATCCTCTTTAAATAGTGTGCTTATCCACATATGTCTTCTGTAGCTCCTCACACCCCAAACTGTAACTTTCTAGGCTAT